TTAAATGTTTGTGAAATGATTGGGCATCATATGTTGTGCATAGACTCATGCGTTGAAGGTTAGGTATGTTTCCTGCCCTCCAAGAGCTTATAGTCATAAAAATCAATAGTAGTCCCAGTCAGAGACCATGTTTTTCGACTCCCAGTTATTAATTCTGATGCACAACTATTAAAAAGCATATACTATCAGCATACATTATTTTACATGTCTTTTTTATTTTTTAAACTCCAAGATTAGCATCATCAGAAATAATTAAAATTATCTTCTTGCTCAATTAGGGTGGCTTTAAAACAAGAGAATCCCTGATATAGTTTTTAGATTAAGTTATAAATGTTCACTTTAGAACTACCTGAAGATTGATAGAGATGCATTCGAAAAGCATTATTTTTTTATTGATTCTTAATGTAGTAAATTACTGAAGTTATTTGGCAGCAAACAGAAATGGCCTGTGATGTGGCTCACATTTATTCTCCTGATAGTGCCACAATTTGCATTAATTGCATTGCGACTGCACTCACTTATATTAAAAGGCTTCTACTATAATTAATCCTTTTTATTTCAAATCATTTTGGCACAATTTCTAGCTATAAACACTCATAAAAGCAGACAGTTGAAAAATACGTTACAGGTTTTTTCCATATACCTATTGCTGTTTTTTCATGACCAGTAGTTATTGATACGCTTCTAGGAACAAGTGTGGTGCGACTGGCTGAGAATTAAGGCCAGTATGAAAAATGCTAAGTGGATTATTTTGCATAAAAAATAGGCGGTTTTTGAAGTTGTATAATTAACCTGTGTTTAGAAAATACCTTGATTTATGCTTACATTTGTATCTCAGTTGCATACATTATGGAAATTTAATTTATAATCCATTTAGCTGATGCAATCATAGTTTTTAGTGCTATCATTTATTAGTGCTTGTATATTAAATGCTCTAAAGGTTTAAACCTGCCTTGTGTAAAAAATTATACCTATGCATTTACATTTTATGAGTCACAGTGGGATTTCTGTTTAAAATTCAGGTAGCTCTGATATATTTAACGAATTTCACTGGTTTATTGTTACTAATGCAGAAATGGCAAACAATGACCTTACATATTGAACATCAGATGATTTACACTTCCAGTTTACTTTAAAGTCCACTGTACAAATGAGGCTTTTTTTCAACACCTGGAATCAATCATGTCGTCTTCTGCAGAACGTTCTCCTTGGCTTTGAAGTCATCATTCATTTAGAAGTAATGGGATTTATAAGTGCTTCAGGTTAATAGTATTAGCCATTCTTAACTTTAAGCAAACTGTGACTTTTCAAAACAACTCTTTCTTTACGTTATCAGTAGATGACTTAAGTGCTAGTCGCCATCTTATTACTCATTCTCTCATTAAGAAGTCCTTTTTTTGCCATCTTTTCAAAATTAATTGGGTAATCATTAGTCTTCAAATCAGAAATAAAAGCGCAGGGACATGACACTTCAGTTTCCCTGGCAAAGAACATCTGTGGTCTTAGCTGGAGGGAGAATATTATGAAGTATGCAGTAAACAGATGGTGAACCTGAACTCCTTAGCCACTTGAACCTTGGGGGAAAATGTTATTCAGAATGTCTTTTGGTAGCTTTCTGGAGCAAGAAAGCAGTGCACTCTGGATGTTTACTTTTAGGAAGATGTCTAATAGGTATTTTCTAGTTTCCTCCAGTCATATTAGTGGCTGAGACTCTAACGTGTAGATCTCAAGGGATATCTGCACATTCTCTGGTGGTTTAAGAGGAAAAGGGAGAACACTTGTGTGAGTATGTAAATTCTGGTGTATTTGTTTAAGGATCAGTGATTCCATAGACTACCACCTGTGAAATCGGTGATTAGATACTGCACCTGTGCTGGAAGCTGTGCGTAGAGACAGGGTTCACTTGAACCAGGATGAACAGTGCACGTAGGCTGAGCATTTCTTACCTGCTGGAGGATGGGGGAGCAGAGTTCCAGCGCTCTGGAAGCTGTTCACTCTTATATTAGTTAATTCACACAGATCTGTCTTAGTAAACCCTCATGTTTCACATTTAGTGTGTATGGGTGTGGTCGGGTGAATGGCCTCTTGGAAGAGTGACTTCTGAAGTTACAGTTTCATGGCTGAATGATTACCCCTTAGATTAAATTTTGTCTTTATTTTGGTATTCCATGAGTAGCATGATAACACTTGAATCTTAAAACAGTGGTTTAAAGAATATCTGAGTATATCATAACATATCCCACACAGCATAGCTCATTGCAGCAGTTTCTAAGGTGAGGTTAGTCCAGCCCTCGCCCCCCGTCTGTCCTTCTGGGGTCCCTCCGTCTCGGACGTGGGTCACAGGCTGCCCCCCAACAGAGTAAGGTTCATATCACCTGTGCTTGAGACCATGCCTCCAGCTCTCATTTACCAAGTGTGCGTAATGACACCACTGGTCCTCTCACTAGGGAAGGTGGGAGACTACAGTCACGGGAGCATCTCAGAGGATTGTAGTAAATACATGTCTCTTTGCAGATTAGATGTATTCTAACAAAAATGGACTTTGTAGAGGAAATCTAGATTTCCCCTTAATTTCCATATAAGAATCACTCTTACCTTACAGTTAGGAGATTTTTCCAAATAGGCCAGATGGAAATGAGATAACTGATGTCGAGTGCCTAGCACAGTGCTTGGCACATGGCAGGCATTCAATGAGAGGTAACTATTATTTTCATCAGAACATTTTTGACAAGAAAGATTTGTTGTGGCTTCCAAGTCAGTCATCTGTTAGAATAAAATAATAAGAATGCATCTGAAAATTTTACAGCATGTTCCTGATTCCTTGTTGCATTTTACAGCCTTAGACCATAAGAATATTTATCATGCCAGGTGAACTCTGACATTATGCTGGAAAACTTACATTACTTAATTTTACTTCCTACCTTCTTTTGCTGGGGAATCTCTGGAGATTAATATAGTAATACCAATAAGTAATTTAATCCAATACCACTGGTCATCAGGGAAATGCCAATTAAAACCACATTGCACCAACCAGAATAACTAAAATTTAAAAGACTGGCATACTAATAATTGGTGAGGATGTAGACCGTTGGAACCTTTCTACATTGCTGGTCGTGGTGAAAAAATCATTGCATTTTAGAAAACAGCATGTCAGTATCTAATAGAGTTAAACATACCTTGTGACCCAATACTTTCACTGTCAGCAGTTCTTCTCTTAAGTATATACTGAAGAGAAATCAGCACAGATCCGCAGAAAGGCTTGTACATGACTGTTCATAACAACTTTACCTAATCATAGCCCCAAACTGGAAACAACTCAATGTCCATCACCAGGTGAATAGGTAAGGATATTACACAGCAATAAATAAAAGAACGAACAGTAACATAGATGAATCTCAAAAATACATGTTGCAAGAAGAAAGATATAAGATAATACATACTGTATAATCCCATTTATGAAGTTCTAGAACGGACAGAACTCATCTGTGGTGATAACAGAATGGGGGTTAACCCTGGGGAGGGTGTTGACCGAAGGGTATGAGGGAACTCTGGATTTGGGGAGGGGGTGTAAATGTTCTATGTCTTGATCTGAGTGGTCGTTACACAGGTGTAATCAAATGTAACAATTTATCAAGCTATATGTATGTTGTAAATTTTATTTTACTATATGTAAATTATACTTTAATGTAAATAAATGGAAAAATAATTACACATTGCAATCCTTAGACATAAAGGTAGACAGTAACTTAGAGTGAAAACATCATTGATCTGGGCATCAGGGAATCTGGGTTTTGGTACCAATTTTGCCATCTACTAACTCATAATATCTGGACAAGTCCTCAGAATTCTAAGGGCCAATTTCTTCATTTTAGAATGGAGGTTGGCACACTGCAGCCTGTGGGTCATATCCAGCCTGCCACGTATTTTCATGTGGTCAGTGAGCTAAGAATGCTTTTTTCATTTGATGGTTGGGAAAAAAAATCTAAAGGAGAATAATATTTCTTGAGTTGGAAATTACATGAAATCTAACTTTGGTACACAGCTGTCCATGCATTATCTTTGCTCCTTTTGTGCTATAAAGGCAGAAGGGGGGGGGGGCGTGGCGGGATAACCAAGACAGTCTGGCCTGCTGTAGTAGATTAAATTGTGACCCCCCGCCCCCAAAAAAATATGCTCAAGTCCTAATACCCCAAACCTGTGAATGTGACCTTACTGGAAAAAAGAGTCTTTGCAGATGTCATCAAGCTAAGTAATGAGGTCTTACTGGGTTAGAGTGGCCCCAGATCCAGTGACTGGCATCTTTATAAGAGAAAGGAGAGGGAGATCAGACACGTACAAGGAAGGCAGCCACGTGAAGAGGCAGAGGTAGGAGCAATAGAGCTACAAGCCAGGGGCCACCAAGGATTGCTGGCAACACCAGAAGCTGGAAAAAACAAGGAAGGATCCTCCTCCAGAGCCTTCCAAGAGAGCCTGGCCCTGCTGACACCTTGGTCTCAGACTCTGACCTGCAGAACTGTGAGATAATAAGTTTCTGTGGTTTTAAGCCACCCAGTTTGTGGCACTTGGTTACAGCAGCCCCAGGAAACTGATACACCTGGAAAGCCTTTTACAGAAAATGCTTGCCAACCTCTGTTATAGTATGAAGGATTCGGCTCTTAAAAATCCCCATTGGTGTTAATGTTACAAAGTTATGTAAATTTTACTAATACCTCATTTATTAAGAGAAAGACATGATTTCAGCCCTAAAATTCTTTGATAGTCTGTTCTAGAATTTTTGCCGTACTGCATGCATGCATTGAATGCTTAGACTGTGGCCTGGAACATGGTGAATGCTCACCAAATATTAGCTTCCACCATCGCCATCATTATGGAGAAAAAGTATCTGCTGTCTTAGGACTCTGTTAAGTATCAAATTGGACATATACATTGTTTATTGTTAGAAAGTATGAAAAAAGATTTGCTATGAAATGCTAACCATTGTTCATTGTTCTTATCTGAAGGCTCTCTATGAAAATATGCTGGTGGAATTGCCCTTTGCTGGCTTTTTTCTGTCCAAGTTGCTTGGAACCAGTGCAGATGTGGACATTCATCATCTAGCTTCGTTAGATCCTGAAGTGTATAAGAACTTGCTTTTTCTCAAGAGCTATGAGGGTGACGTGGAGGAGCTCGGGCTGAACTTCACTGTGGTGAACAATGACCTTGGAGAGGCCCAGGTGAGGAGAGCACCCTTCCCCAGTTTGTTCCTGATGCCCAGCTTGTATTCACGGGGTCATGAGGAAGAGGGTTCACACGCCTGTGTATTTCCTTTTCTGTGAAAATACAGTTGCTTTAGATTGTTTGAGCTCTTGCACGTTTTAGTTAGAATGATGTAGCTGAGTGTCAGAAATCAAGGAGTTGGGGGGACCCTGAAGCACATGAGCCCCGGCATCAGTCATACAACCGGCCGAGTCCAGCCTCAGCCCCTTGAGTGATGCGCTCTCGTGCGTGTCAGCCTGTCCTTCTGTGGAATTGTGTTCTTGTGGCTGTAAGGTGCGCCTTGTTTCTTGTCTCGCTCTTGGTTCTGGGCAGTGCAGGTCAGCACCCACCCGACGGTGCCCTAGGGGTGTCAGTGCTCCTTCATCCTCGCCCACTTAGAGTGGACCTTGCTGCTCTAACGCTGCTCTCTGGGATATTTCTTTTGACCTTCATTATCCATCTAGTTGCGTTTGTTACTTTTATCCTTTAAAAAAAAACAAAACGTATATTAGAGATTCAAACTAATTTTTCAGGAAACAGCTTTATTGAGATATAATGTACATACTATAAAATCCACCCTTTGGAATGTCCAGTGCAGTTTCGTATAGTCATGGAGTTGTGCCACCATCACCAACATCTAAGTTTAGGAGGTTTTCGTCACCCCAAAGAGACCATGTGCCCATTAGCAAGTCACTGCCACCTGCAGTCTAGGCAAGCACCGAGCCGCTTTCTGTCCCTGTGCATTTGTCTGTTCTGGACGTTTCACATACCTGGAATCTTCCAGGAGGTGCCCTTTGTGACTGGCTTCGCTCACTTGTTGCAGGCGTCAAGTGCTTCATTCCTTTTTCTGGCCGAATGATGTGCACTGGATGAATACACCACATCTTCTTTATCACTTGGTAGACGTTTGGGTCCACTCTTTGGCTGTTACGAAAAATGCTGCTGTGAACATTCATGTGCGACATACTAAACTATTCATGGATGGATTGATAACATCTAGGGTTTGCTTTCAGCATTGTGAGAACAGGGCAGCAATAGAGGCACATGGCCCAGATTGGCCATGAGGTGGCACTTGCTGAAGCTGGTGCTGGGGCGTCCTTCATACTGTTCTGTCCGTTTTGGCGCATGTTCAAATGTTCCCGTAATTGACAAAGCTTTTTTTATTTTTTATTTTTTTTTAGTTTTATTTTTTTTATTTATTTATTTTCCCCCAAAGCCCCAGTAGATAGCTGTATGTCATAGTTTCACATCCTTCTAGTTGCTGCATGTGGGACACGACCTCAGCATGGCCGGAGAAGCAGTGTGTCCATGCGCGCCCGGGATCCGAACCTGGGCCGCCAGCAGCAGAGCGTGCGCACCTAACCGCTAAGCCACGGGGCCGGCCCAACAAAGCTTTTTTTAATGCATATAGACAAATCAAATTAAGGATCTTTGCAGTCATATTCGTTAGTGTCTCTTATTTTATTAGATTTTAAAGTAACCAACTGCACTTTTCTAACTTATGTTTGGGTTTCAGGCAAATATGTCTCTTTCACAGGGAAGAGGCATCTTTTCTCCTATTCTTATGGAGATTGATAATCTTTTCTGAATTTAGTAATTGGATTTTAACTACAAAAATATTATTTCAAACCTTTGTAATTGTTTCTCTAAATTTTTATTACTTGGTTTCTTTTTTTTTTTTTAAAGATTTTATTTATTTATTTTTCCCCCAAAGCCCCAGTAGATAGTTGTATGTCGTAGTTGCACATCCATTCTAGTTGCTGTATGTGGGACACGGCCCCAGCATGGCTGGAGAAGCGGTGTGTCAGTGTTCGCCCGGGATCCGAACCCGGGCCACCAGCAGCGGAGCACACGCACTCAACCGCTAAGCCACGGGGCCAGCCCTATTACTTGGTTTCTAATCCGGGCTTTGAAAAGTCATCAGCTTTGCCAACTTAAAAGTAACTGCATATTAAATAGACACTAGTGAGCAGTCAATTCACTGTTGAAACTGCATTGACCACCCACACAGGGTGCTCTTTAACCTAACCCCCCAGGTCACAAGCACTAGCATCCTGTCTTGGTAAACACACATATTGAACAAGTTTGGATTATTACAGTTCTGGTCATTTTTATATCACATGACCTACCATGACTGTTCTTTCTTTCTTCACTCATTTGCGAGACGTTTATGACTTTCTGTGTAGCAGCCATTATGCTACGAAGAGGAGATGTTTTTGAAACTGTAAGAGCACATGCATTCTTTTTTTCTGTGTGTGTGAGGAAGGTCAGCCCTGAGCTAACATCCATGCCAATCCTCCTCTTTTTAGTGAGGAAGACCGGCCCTGAGCTAACATCTATTGCCAGTCCTCCTCCTTTTTCTCCCCAAAGCCCCAGTAGATAGTTGTATGTCATAGCTGCACATCCTTCTACTTGCTGTATGTGGGACGTGGCCTCAGCATGGCCGGAGAAGCGGTGCGTCAGTGTGCGCCCAGGATCCGAACCTAGGCTGCCAGTAGCGGAGCGCATGCACTTAACCGCTAAGCCACGGGGCCGGCCCCAGCACGTGCATTCTAACAAGAGAGGCAGCTACGATCTGTGGGATCAGATGTGCATAGCTGAGTAGGAGCTCAAAAGAAGTGCTCAGCTCCAGGTGGGTCCCGGATGGCTCCTTGGACAAGACCCTGGACAGGTGGTGAGGAGGTCACTGGCAGGTGAGCATATTTAGAAGTGGCTGGAGTTAGGGGGCATGGAGGAGAGTAGGTGGATGGATGCCAGGAGGTCTGGGCTTTATCCTGTTGTCCATGGAGAAGTATTTAAGCCTTGGGCTTTAGAAAGGCTAAACCTATTCTCAGAAAGAGAGCCAGTGTTATTTCAGTGCTTCAGTGTAAGACAGCCTACAAAGGTGCATTTCAGAGCTAAATGGAAAATGAATAACAAGAAAATATTTGAGCCTCTTGTTAGAGGAAACTGAGGTTTCAATTCTATAAGTTAGGGCAGGACCTGGAAACTGCCTGGGTATTTTTTGGGTCAGGTGGTTTCGGAATTCAGAGAAACCATAACTTGGGTGTTAAGCAATGAAGAAAATTTTTAATGATAGGACTTCAACTGTAAGGACTTCAACTGTAATTTTCATTTTTGAAATTACATTCTATAGATCAGTATCTTTTTTTTGAGGAAGATGAGCCTGGAGCTAACATCTGTGCCAGTCTTCCTCTATTTTGTATGTGAGGCGCCACCACAGGTGGCTTTTACCAGTGGTGTGTAGGTCTGCACCCAGGATCTGAACCTGCAAACCCCGGGCCGCCGAAGCAGAGCACACAAACTTAACCACTATGCCACCGGGCCAGCCCCTAGATCAGTATCTTGAACTAAGTAGATTTTGAGTCAGAGAGGAGGTGAGGCAGACAGGACATTCTTGTACTAAACTCCGTGTCCCCCTCCCCCAGCCCCTGGCAGCCACCATTCTGCATTCTGTCTCTATTGATTTGACGACTCTAGTACCTCATATGAGTGGGATCATACAGTATTTGTTCTTTTGTGACTGGTTTATTTCACTGAGCATAATGTCCTCATAGTTCACCCATAATGTAGCATGCATCAGAGTTTCTTCCTTTTTAAGGCTGATTAATATTCCATTGTGTGTATGTATCACATTTGCTTATCCATTCATCTGTCAATGGACGTTATAGTTGTTTTGGTTATCATAAATAATGATGCCATGAATATTGCTATAGAAATACCTTTTCAATTCCCTGCTTTTGTTCCTTTTGGGTATATACCTAGAAGTGGAATTGTTGGGTCATAGGGCTATTCTATGTTTAACTTTTTTTTTTTCGCTTTTTTTTGTGTGTGGGGAAGATTCACCCTGAGCTAACATTTGTTGCCAATCTTCCTCTTTTTTTGCTTGAGGAAGATAAGCCCTGAGCTAACATCTGTGCCAGTCTTTCTCTACTTTGTATGTGTGATGCCACCACAGCATGGCTGACGAGTGGTGTAGGTCCGTGCCTGGGATCCAAACCCACAAACCTGGGCCGCCCAAGTGGAGTATGCCAGACTTAACCACCACTCCACAGAGCTGGCCTTTCTATGTTTAACTTTTTGAGGAACCCCCATACCATTTTCCATAGTGGCTGCACTATCTTACATTCCCACCAGCAATGTGCAAGGGTTCTGATTTCTCCACATCCTCATCAACACTTATTTCTGTTTTCTTTTCTTTCTCTCTCTCTCTTTTTAAATCATAGCCATCTTAATGGGTGTGAAGTGCTACTTCATTGTGGTGTTATAATACACAGTGCTGTGCTCTAATACTGAGAGTTCCTCGGGAATATTGAGATTGAGTATATTTTTGTTGGCTTCCTCCCTAGACTACAGAACTGTTACCTGGTTTGTACACCACAGTGATGTCTTCAAAAACTAAAATAAGAAGATATCCTAGTGTGTAAATTTGCTGGATATTTTTTAAATGATCATCTTTGTGGTAGTTGAATTTTCCATCTGTTTCTCAGCTTCTAAAGCTACCTATTTCAGAAATAGGTATGGATTAAATCCTAAGTAGAAATGAAGGAAATAACATTGCCTGAGGCTTCCTAATTTTTTTTTTTTTTTAAAGATTTTATTTATTTTATTTTTTTCCCTCCAAAGCCCCAGTAGAT